TACACACAAGGCGCGTAGACGCCCGCGGTTTCGCCCACCCCTAACTTTGGGAAGGGGGGCGGGGGATATATTGTCGAGTGCCTCACGCTGAGCGTAGCAAGCTACGGTGTCCAGGCCAACGGTTGGCCGACTTGCATGTTGCGCCAGCGTGTCTGTCTGCCCCCCGCCCCCCTTTTTGGCATCGCACCCTTTTCGACCCTTGTCTTTTTTTATTCCCCCCATTGGGTTCAGCCCCCTCCCCTGTCCTGGGCCCCCGGCTTGGCGAGCGCCGCGCCTGCCCGCAGGACGAGCGCGCCGACGCCGCGTTGACTTCGCCGAGGGGCGCCCGCGCCGAGGCGTTCCTCCCCCTCCCCTCCTCCGACGCCACCTCCTTTTCCTGCGCCTACTTCGCTGCTCCCTCGGTCTTTTTCTCAGCCAGCTCCTGCTCCTGATGCTGATCCCCCGCCCCGCTGATCCTCCGCCGCCGACTCTGTTTCGTCGCCCTGCTCCTGCTAACTCTTCCACTTCCCTCTGCTTCCCCGCCCCCCCGCCTCCCGCTGTTGCCTCTGCTGCTACCCGCCCTCCTCCCTCCTCCTCATCCTCCTCCTTCTCCTCCTCCTCTTCCTCCTCCTCCTTTTCCTCCTCCTCCTCCTCCTCCTCCTCCTCTTCCTCTACCTTTCCCTGTCTTCCCTCCTCTTCCCAGTCCTCTGTTTGAGGCCGCCGACTGCTCCGCGGCCCTGCGCGAGACCTCGCCGCCTCCGGCCCCGCTCGATAAGCTCGCTTCCAAAATGTTGTCGGCGATGAACCGTGGTTCGAGGAGAGCCGACATGGAGACGTTCAAGAGTGGTTTGCTCGCCATGTCGACCGAGGGGAGTGTCACAGTGGGTTCGGCATGTTCTGGCTGCGACATCGTGAATCATGTCTTCAGGGTGTTACTTACCCACGCGCAGAGGTCGATGGCCGAGCATGTCCCGCAGGTGCGACACGTCTTCTCGCGCGAGAAGGACCCGTCCAAAATCGCCTTCTTGAAGAATGAGTTCGCCCCGGAGATCTTGTTCGATGACGTGCGCGTGCTGACCAAGCGGTCTGGAGTGAACTTGATGACGGGGAAGGCTCAGCGCGTTCCAGGCGTTGACATTCTGGCTGCTGGCTTTAGCTGTAAAAGCCGTGCCGCTACGAACAACAAGAGCCACTTGCACGTCAACTGCATTCAGAACAAAGATCCCGAGGCAGAGACGTCCATCACATTCCACGCGATCGCGGACTACATCATACGGTTTCGCCCACGGTTGTTTTTCTTGGAGAACGTTATGTCCCTCGGTCAGAAGAAGGACGGCTCCGACGACGCCTCGGACATGGAGTGGATCTGCGAGTACTTCGCCAACAGCGGGTTCGCGATGAAGACCTTCGCGTTCGACGCCGCCGACTTCGGGAGCCCTGCTTCTCGTCGGCGGCTTTACCTCCTCGGCTGGTCCATGGAGTTCGAGTCCGACGACTCGCCCGCCGCCCCGGCGATGCCCCTCGATTACTTGGATAGCTTCTTGGGCTCGCTGCTGGTCGAGGCCATTGCAACTCTTGTCAATCATGCCTGCTCCCTCCTTCCCTCCGCTCGTCCTCCCTCCTCATTTCTCTTTGCCCTGTACCTCCGCCCCCCTCGAGTCCTTCTCCTCCCGCTGCTCCTGTTGCTGCTGCCGATGCTAGAGGGGCAGGGGCAGGCGGGGGTTGATGGGCAAGAAGGGGCATGGCGAGAAATCGAGGAGGAGGAGGAGGAGGTAGATGAGGGAGGAGAGGAGTAGAAGGAGGAGGTGGAGGATGATGAGGTTGATTAGGAGGAGGAAGAGAAGGAGGAGGAGGGGGGATGAGGAACAACACGCGGCAGAGGGGGGGCCCGAGTGGAAACGCGTCGCCCCGCGCCCCAGGGCCCCGACATGAACTCGTTCTTGATTGCCAATCCCGACCAGTGGGAGTCAGAGATGGCCAAGTACACGGCCACTCCAGCCTTAGGCCCGTCTCGCAAGGAGGCCAAGAAGGATGTGGAGTGGCACAAGGAGCACTGCAATGCTTTCCGCGATGCCGATCTGCAGTGGCCAGCTGAGGGGGTCGACCCGGAGGGCTTCGTTGACATGGAGTTCAAAGGCGTGTCGTTCAAGCTCTACAAGGGCACCCTCTGTGACCGCCAGTTCGAGTTGACGCTCTTTTCCATGGTGAGTTTCCCCATGGCTGAGGGCTCGCCGCCGGAGTTCATGGATGTTATAATGCCCTCCCTCGGGCGCATCTTCAAAGGGGAGGACTTCGCCGCGCCGTGGAGGACGCAGATGCAGACGATCACTGCGGCGGCCAGGCCTGTTGTGCGTTTTTTTTGGAAGGGCGAGGTGTACGTTCGCCCTGTCGGTGGCGCGGAGTGCATGGCGATCATCGGCTGGGACTACAGCTTTTGGAATGACCCGGATGCGTACAAGTACGAGGACCCGCTGCTGGTGAGCCTGGCCGGCAGCGCCTTCTCGGGCTTCGCCGCCCCCCCGATGTTGATGTGTCTCTTCTTCGCGCAGGGCAAGTTCAAGGCGGCTGCCGACGCCAAGGGCCCGAGCGTTCTCAACGGCGACGAGGGCGACGAGGAGCAGGGCGAGTCCGAGAGCGCCGACTCCTCGAGCGATTGAGGGGGCTCCCAGGTACGCCGCTAGCCTGGTTCGACGTGTTTCTCGAGGGAGCGTTGGGGAGAGTGCGCCTCCGAACTTCTCATCCCGTCCTTCTCTTCCCTCCTCGTCCTGCTCCTCCTGCTCCTCCTACTTCTCCTGCTGCATCTGCCCCTTCCCCCATTCCTCCCTGTGGTCCGCCTTCTCGTCTACCTAATATTACTCCTGCTGCTGCTGCTGCGTCTGCTGCTCCTCCTCATTGCCACCCTCGCTTCTCCCTGCTCCTCCCTGCTCTTCCCTGCTCTTCTTCGTCCTCCCCCCCCCCCTGCTCGTCGCTCCGCCTCCTGCGTTGGCTGGGCGCCGACGTGGCGATGACATCCTGGAGGGGGCTCTCATGCCGCATCGCGCCTGATCTGTGTGCTAAGCAGCCCCCCGCCCCCTACAGACGAGCATGCGTGGATGCTGGAACCCCCCCCCTCCCCATCGATGCGTTCACCCAGCCCCTCATCCTCGAGGGTTGCCTCGTGACCCTCCCCGGGCCATGGCCGTCGTCGTCGTTGTCGTCTCGTCGTGGTCCTCGTCGCCACAAGCATCGCCATCGTCGTCGGGATGAGTCCGAACCGCCCGAACCTCGGAGAAGGGCAACAATTCGTCGCCCTCATCGCCCGAACCTCGGAGAGAGGCAACCCCCTCCAACTCGAGCGAAGAGCGATTATCCTTGCGCCCCTGGGGGTGACCTACAAAGATCGTCGTCGTCGCCGTCAGGTCGCCGTCGCCGTCGCCGTCGCCGCCGTCGTCGTCGTCGTCGTCGTCGTCGTCGTCCTCTCCGTCGTCGTCTCCTCCGTCGTCGTCGTCGTCGTCGTCGGTCGTCGAGGTTTTTCGGCGTTCCCGCCCGCTCTCTGGGCCTCGAGGGGGCCTCTGGATGGCGCGAAGAGGGCCGCGGATATCCGAGGGCCATGGTTCTCGAGGGCATCGCCGTGGGAAACGCCCCGTGCCGAGCGCGTTGTCGTCGTAGTCGTCGTCGCCGTCGTCGTCGTCGTCGTCGTCGCCGTCGTCGTCGTCGTCGTCGTCGGCGACGTCGTCGTCGTCGTCGTCGCCGGGATGTCTGGGGCATCGCCGCCAGCGTCTCCCCCCCAGGGCCTCTCCATGTGTGCACGTATAATCAGGTGGGGTCTTTCACGGCGCTGCAGGGGTGAAATTCCTGACGCTTCGCGCACCCGCGCCAGCCCATCCAGGAACGACGCCCAGGTGACGTGGGAAGTGCGTGAGCAAAGAGGGGGACAGCTGAAACGTTCGACGGAGGAGGCTGAGGATGGATGGATGGATGGATGAGGGAGGAGGGAGAAGGGCGATACATCGGATGATGAGGAGGAGAACGAGGAGGATGGAGGAGGAGGGCCAGCAAAAAGGCCAGAGGCTTCTTGGATGCCTCTCGGGATCTCTTGGGATACCTCTTGGGCGTTTCTTGGATGCTTCTGGGGGCGCATCGGGTCTCTCGGCGGCCCAGGGGGGCTCCTGGGCGTTTTTGTTGCCTCGGGGGGGGGGGCCTGTGATGTCCGCGTGGAATCTTTCTGGGGGCCTCTTGGGGGCCTCTTGGGGGGCTCTTGGGGCCATCTTGGGGCCTCTTGGGGCCTCCTGGGGCCTCTCGGGGCCCCTTGAGGGCCTCCTTAGAGCATCTTGGAGCTGTCTCGGGGGCCTCGGGGGCCTTCTTGGAGCCATCTTGGAAGAGCTCCATCAAAGAAGGGGAGGGCCGCAGTCAGCCTTGCCCCTCGGGAACCCCAGAGATCGCCTCTCTCGCCCCTCCTGCAGCGCTATTGGGGCCGTCTTGGGGCTCTCTTGGGCCTCTCTTGGGGCGCCCTTGGGCCACCTTGGAGCCATCTTGAGGCCTCGGATGGCCATCGGAAGCAAACCAGCGAGAAAACCAAAAACACGAATATGATCTTGTGGCTATTGAGTGATCTTGGCCTCTTCGGGGCCTCTGGGGCAAGCTCTTCGGCAACTCTGAGCCGTCTGGGAGCGTTCCTGGGGCCTCTTGGGGCATCTTGGAAGCCATCTTGAGGCATTTTAGGCCATCTTGAGCCATCTTGGAGGCCATCTCGGCTGCTCCCACGCCCTCTTGGGGCCATCTTGGGCGAACAAAGTACCCTCTGACACCTCGCGGCTTCGCCCGTCCAGGTCCAAGGGATAGGGTCGGGGGAGGGGCGAGCCCTCTCCGAAGCGGAAGAGGGGGGTTGGAAGAGGGAACTCTCTAGACCACCTGCGCCCTCACAGAGCTGGTGGGGCTGCTCATCCCATCGCGACTCAGGGTAGCCCGAAGTTTTTTTCAGGTTCAGACCTGGCCGCCTTCCCCGATTTGTGCGCTGCCAGCGTTCCAGCGTTCCACGTGGGATGTCGATCAACAACGACTTCCTGTTCGGGTCTGTCGCGGCGCCAGACGTGTCGCCCAAGCTTAAGAAGTCGAGGAAGTCGAGGTCTGACGGAGGGAGCGTCCACGAGGTGGACGGCCGGGGCTCGCAGCACCAGCCCCAGCCCGACGGGCGCAAGTGCATCGGTTGCAACTTGAGAGACTCCGACGAGGATCCAGTGGATGGGCCGGGCTCGTTCGCGCGTTGGGCGTACCCTCCCGTTTGTGGGAAGACACAGGGCGGAAAGTGTTGGTATTGTAACAGGTCATGGTTCACTGGTTTCCGCCACGCCCCCGAGACGGGCAGCTTCGAGAAATTGATGACCGTCTGCGGCACCGACGACGCCGTCCTCCAGAAGTTCAATAACGTTCGGTCTTTGATTTTGGACAAGTGCGTGAAACAAGGGAGCAGGCACATCCATGTGCGCGCTAACGAGGTGAAGGCCGTCGTGACCACCGTCGAGCGCACCATGGTCTCCCTCGAGGATGACGACGACGTCGTGGAGCTGGAGTACTACAAGAACGAGTACCACGGCGGCATGGGGGACCCCGTCACGAACGGCAAGGGGCACACTATCTTGATGATCCAGGGGGTCATGCACGTCAGAGTCCCAGGGCCGCCTGTGAAGAAGTTGAAGCGGTGCCAGCAGAGCATCGTGGACGTCACGAGGATGGCCGACGACGGCAGCCTCGCGCTCTCCGACACCCACGCGGCTGATGTCGCCCAGCAGCTCTCGACGAACATTGGGGCGCACACAGACGGGGCTGGCGAGCGCGTCAGGGCCCCGCCCGCCATGGACGCCGTCGCCGATGCTAGGACGCCGAAGCGGCCCACCCAGGCTGCCTCGCAGCCCTCGCCCTCGCCGCCGAGTTCGAGCTCTGCGACCGGCGCGCGCCCCATGACCAGCCCGCCCCAGGTCTTGGGCACGCAGGTGGTCGTCCCCGCGCTGCCAGGAGCGGCGGCTTCGCCGTCGGAGGTGCAGGCCGAGGATGCGTCGGCGAAGCGGGCCCGGCCCCCGGCGTCGGCCGCCAGGCCCGCCGCCAAGCCCAGGGCGGCCGCGGCCAAGGCCAGCGCTGCGCCCGCCCCATCCGGAGCGGGCGGCGGCGCAGGTGGCAAGGCGGGCAGGAAGAGGCGGAACTTGGTCTCGGAGACGGAGAAGGTGGCCAGTCAGTTCCAGCAAGCCGCTGCGGACGACAAGACGTTCTTTGGCCTCGGCCACGCGGGCATGGTCGCCTGGCTCAAGCGGTTGTGCAAGGACTACGCGGAGAGGATCCCAACGATCCAGGTGGAGGAGGACGACGGGTTTCTAATGCATCCTTATCCTCCATTTCCCCTGTGCTCCTCTTTCTGCTCCACCTCTTCCTCGCCCTCCTCTTTCCTCCTTCTGCCCGTCCTCGCCTACCTTGCACTCCCCCCTACTCGCCCTCGTCCTCGTCGTCTTCGTCGTCGTCCTCCTCCTCTTCCCCCTGCTGCCCCTCGCACTGCCCCTGGTGCTGCCGCTGCTGCTCCTCGCCATCGTCGTCCACCTGTCGCTGCCAATATGTCTTCTCGAACTCTTCCTCCTCCCCCTCCTCCTCCTCCTCGCCCTCCTGCTGCTTCTCCTCCTTCACCACCTTTCTGGACTTCTCCCCATCCTCCTCCACCTCGTCCGCCTCCAGTTGAGTTGTCCGGTCTATTCCCTCTGCCCCCTCCTCGTCTCAGCCCTTTTTATCCTGCTCCTCGTCATCGTCCTTCTGCCCTTCCTGCTGCTACTCCTCTTAATCCTCGTCTACCTCCATCTCGTCGTCGACCGCCTCGCCCTCGTCATCCTCGTCGCCTCCTTCCCCCCGTTCCCTTGAGCTGCTGGCGTGCGGGCGCGATGCCTAGCTCAGCATTTGCAGCAACGTGCCCAACTAGTGTGTCCTACCTCATCATTCCCTCCCACATCCTCTTCCTCATCATGTTCCTGCGTATGCTCCCTCTCGTCCTCCTGCCAGCGACGCGCCCCCCTGTCCTCTCCGCGTGATTGCGTCGGCCTGGCCGACTCAGCGAGGTAGGCGGGAGTTCGGGTCTCAGCCTGCGGGGCAATGCAATGGCGGCCCGCTCGCTGTCCTGCCAGTTTCGTCGGTGATCCTCCTCCTCCTTCTCCTCCTCCTCCTCCTCCTCCTCCTTCTCCTCCTCCTCCTCCTCCTCCTCCTCCTCCCCCTCCTCCCGTTCGTGTCCCTGTTCATGCTGCTCCTCCCCCGCCCATCTCCTTCCCCATAGTCCCCCCTCTTTGCCCGTGCATCCCTCGCCCGCGCGCCCGCCCACCCTGGGCTGCCCTGGGCAGGAGTACGACTCGCACATCTTGGGACAGAAGATTGCCAAATCCATCCTGTCCATCTGCACGGCGCGGAAGAAGCATGGCCTGGATTCGTCGGGTTTCGCCGGCGCCATCAAGGACGCGATCCATTTCCTTGAGGTGCTGCCTGCAGCGAGGACCGACTTCTTGCCTGACTTCATCCGCATGTCGGAAAAGAAGTTCGCTGCGTCGGCATGCCCCGCCGATTCAACGTTCTGGCCAATGTTGTCGCGCGACAGCGTTGGCATGACAGAGGCGGCCCCAGCCGCCTGGGAGCAGTTTATCTCGGAGATGATTCTTGACAAGCTGATTGACTGTCTGGAGCTGAAGGACGGCTTTGAGCCGCAGATCGCCAAACTCTTCGAGTGCCCGGACGCGCTCGACAAGGCCGACCTGACCGGGGACGTCCAGGAGCAGGTGAAAGCTCTCGAGATGCTGGTGAAAGGTGCGACGTCCCCAGTGGAGACCCTGCACGCCTGGTCGCGGGCCGACCTTGTCTCGGCGATGGCGATTGTGAACGACAAGCAGAAGAAGATCGCGAACTGCCCCTCGCTGTACGCCCCGGGCCGCAAGCTCGTCCAGCGCATGACCTTGAGGGTCGAGAGCTTGGTGCAGAGCGATGCGAAGATCGAGACGTTCATTGCCGCGGTGCGCGCGCTTGTGGGATCGCTCCCGGAGCGTTGCAGCGACTTGCCCAATGTGGCGTCGGCCCTGAAGGTTAACCTGGATTCAGTCATTGACGAGCTGCGTCGCCTGGGCCAGGCGGACATCAAGCGGGCCGATCAGATGTTCACGGAGGCGGCGGGCAGCATGATCAAGCACGTCTTCGTCTTGTACGAGAGGTTCTTCGAGTGGGGGCATTGGCTGTGCAAGTCTGCGGCGGAGAACGCTGCCGAGCCGTGGCCCGAGAGCATCGCGAGGAGCGCCCTCGCCGACCTCGAGGGTCCGTTGGCGGCCATCCCCCACGCCGCGCAGTTCAAGGCGTTGTGCAGCAAGTTGGATATCACCACGCGCGTGACCTGGGAGCAGATCGACGGGGCTCGCGTGCAGATGTCGACCCTGCTGTCGCAGATGCCCGATGCGCTGAAGGTGTTGGCCCAGATCAAGAATGATACGTCGAGCGTCACCAGGGAGGATGCCTCGCTGTTCCCGCGGCTCTTCTACAACTTCGAGATGAAGTTCGGCTGGGTGAAGATGATATGTGAGCCCGGCGCCGATGCGCAGGTCGTGGGGTCGCCTGCACCGTCGTCGTCGCCATGCCTTCCCCTCCCCTCTCCCGCTCGCTCCCTCCAGACCTCGCCACCCTTCATTCCCGCGTCCCCGCCCCCCGCCCTCGTCGGCGAGGGGGCGGAGAGACAGGCCCTCGTGGCGATGGGCCGTCGACGATGGCCCATCGCCACGAGGGCCATCGTCGACGATGGCGATGGGCCATCGGCGACGACGATGGCCCATCGTCGTTGCCGATGCCCCCCCCCCCAGGTTCTGGCACGCTGCTCGGAGGCGTTTGCCAAGGCTCTGGAGGCCGCGTACTACGAGGGGCACGTCGCCGAGAAGGTCGCCAAGTGCATCGCTGAGGACCCGATCGTGAAGAGCGCCCTGGACGAGATCTGGGATGGCATCCCAGCGGAGTTCCTGAGCAACACCGTGCCTGCTCAAGTGCGCCCTCTCTGCAAGGACGTGGTGGCGACGGCCAACCTCATCGGCAGCATCGGCGACACGAAGCTCGCGCAGCAGTTCCAGGTCCTACAGGACTGCCACGTTTGCGCTTCCACCCGGGCGAACATGAAGGCGAGGCGCGGGGCCCAGGGGCCGACGTTCTCGAGCGAGGACTCGGAGGCGTTCGTGGCGGCCCGCTCCACGCTCGCTTCGGCGCGCACCAGCTTGGCGAGGCCCTCCTTGGCCAGGTGCTTCAACGGCGTCGAGGGCGGCACCCCCGCGGACGCCGTCCACCTCCCGAGGTTCGACGGCTGCGTGGACCCAGTCGACCTCTCCAACGCCTGCATCAACGCCCTGGAGAGCGAGCTCGGCATCTGGGCGGAGAAGTGGAGGGCGTCCGCGCAGAAGCTCCTGGAGGACGTGGAGGGCGCGTGCCCGCGCGGCTGGCAGGTCTACAAGGACCAGGGCTGGGCCCTCCACATCCTAGTCCAGCCATCCCTTCCCCCGACCCCTCCTCTCCAACCCCTCTCCCCCGATCCCCACCTCTCCCCATGCCCGACCCTCCCCTCCCCCGATTCCTTCCCTCCACCGCCTCCCTCTAAGTGCGCGGGGGCCGAGCGGTGTTGCAGTGTCCCTCGATGCGCGGCTGAAGTGGGAATCCGCGGCGTAGATGCTGATTTTTGTTGCTCCGAGTGCGGCTCAAGAGGGGCCCAAGAAGGGCCCGAGAGGGGCCCGAGAGGGGCCCCAGGGGGATCCAAGAGGGCTTCAATTTCACATATAGGTAGGCCTCACATGGCTCATGGGGCCCCCTCTCCCGCTGCCCTCGCTCTTATCCGATCCGCAGTTGCGGGGTGCAACGTGTCTCTCTATCCCTCTCCCCGCTCTCGCGGGTGAGAGGGGCGATAGGGGGGAGGGGGGGGCCCGGGGGGAGTGGGGGCCCCTCTCCGCGCGAGGAGACCCTGATGGATGACGTGAACGAGAACGTTCGCCAGAGCCTCTTGGGCAGCGCCAAGTTCCAGGATCTCAGCGGCCACTCGCAGATGCTGTGTGAGTGGCAGAAGACAATGAAGATCGTGAGCTCCAGATCTGGCGGATCGGCGACGTTCGATCCGAATTTCATGAAGATGGTGAAGAGCACGCTGGCCTTAGGCGTCGACACCGTCACGACGACCTTCGCCCTCTTCAAGCTGACCGGCGAGATCAGCGAGATGAGGAGCCGCGTGGAGCGCAAGAAGGCGATCCGCGCGTTGCGGGAGGCCGTGAAGGGGAAGGGTGGAGAACGCTGGGGCCCTCCTTGGAGTCGTTCGCGGACTCGCTGGAGAGGCCCCTGCCGGAGGGCGCCGAGCAGGCGGCGCATTCGTGGGCACGCCGTCTGCGTGTCGGGGCCCGCCGCGCAGGGACGCGGCAGGAGCAAGACGGGACTTGCCAGACGATAAAAGAAGTGAGAGAAGGAGGGGCGAGGAGGTGGGGGGAGGAGGAGGAGGAGGAGGAGGAGGATGAGGAGCAGCTCCAGCAGGGGGAGGAGCGGGACGGGGGAAGAGGATGGGAGGAGGAGGATGAGGGTAAAAGGAAGGGGGAGGGAGGAGGCGGCGGAGAGCTAAGCGTGAGTAAAGACCGAACTCCACGTCCCAGCCGCTTGGGGAAGCAGGATCTTTTGGGCGGTTCTGGACCCTTCGGGCCGCCCGCCTTCCGCCGCCCCAAGGTCGAGGATCCGCGCGAGGGGTGCGCCGAAATGAAGTGCAGGGCGCGTGGGGGCCCCGCGCGGCCTCTGGGGGCTTCAGGGGGCGCAGCGGGCCCCAGGGCGCACGCGCGAGCGAGAGCACGATTTTGAAACCAGCCACCCTCCAGCAATTATTCCGAGGGGGGGAGGGGCAAGAGCCGCCTCGCGAGGTCGGGTTATCGGCCTTCCGCCCCTGACCTCCAGGATTTTCTAGATTGACTTTTGCGTTGGAGGCCCCGTTGTCCGAAACTGACCGCGTCCTGGGGCCGCGGTGCCTTGGGGCCTGGGGCTGAAAAGCTGCAGATTCGGCATCCTCAAGTCTGCGGCGTTTCTGAAGTAGGTCGTTCGTCATGGCGCTGCCCCCCTCGAAGCCGCCGCTTCGCTGCCGCACCCCGCCCTCCCTCCCCGGGCCGTTCGCGAGTTCAGGGCGGCTTCGGGCCCCCGGGCCGCCTTCCCGAGGCTCCGCGCGGGATGCCAGAGGACCCGATGGGCCCCCGTTACTCCTCATACGCCGATGCCGACCGGGCATGGCGGAAAGCATTCGCCGCTTGCCGCCACCGCCAGGTCAGCCTTATCCTTCCTTTCGGCCCTGTCCGCCCCCAGTGATTGGCTGGTTGGTTGGGTTCGGTTGGCTGGCTGGTTGCCTGGCCTGATAGCTGGTTGGTTGGTTGGCTGGCTCATTGATTTGTTGGCTGGGTCGGTTAGTCGGCTAGTTGGTTTGATGCCTGTTTGCTCGGGGTGGCAAGTTGGTTGTTCGGTCGGAAAGTTGGTTGGTTTCGGCCTCTCCGTCCCCGCTGTTGGTTGGAAGGTCGGCGCATGCAATATACATACGGCATATATTTATTCAATATGTTTTTGAATACATTGCGCGGGTTCAATTTGATAATTTTTTAATTCCTTTTTTTAATTAGTGTTGTTCTATTTTTTAATTATTGATTTCCTATTTTTTTCTAGGTCTAAAGGTTGCGATAGGCCGGGGCCTGTCAAAACATGGGCGACGCGGACGGGCTGGGGATCGCGTGCAGGCTGGTCTCCAGGGATGCGATGGGGCTACCTGCCCCGTGGCTGGGCGACGCCGCTGCCGCGTTCCAGCGACCCCCCGCGGGGGGTCGCAAGCTGCTGTTCAGCCTGGCGTTGGGCAGTCGATCGAGCAGGGCGCGGGTTTTCAGTGACGTCAGCCGGGCGCCGTTGCATCTGGAGCTTAGTCGAGGGGTGTTTTTGGATGCTCCGTGGGGGGATTCGGATTGAGAGCCTGGGTGGCACTTGCCGTTCAGGAAGGTGACGCGCGGGGCGCGGGGTGCTGTGGCCGAATTCGGAAGGGCGGGGCCAGGGGAGTTCGGCCCCTGCGTCTAGCGGAAGGGCGCGCTAGTCGCGCGGCGGCGCGGCGATGTCCTCGTCGCATTGGGGGGCCGCGTCGAATCCATGGGGGTCGCGGGGCAGCTGGGCGAAAAGCTGCTCGCGAAGGTGCGATGCATGCTTGGATTCGCGCCGTGGGGCGGAGACCTCGACGGGGTCGCGACGCGCGATTGGATCGCCCGGTTGCGCAGACGTGATGGAGTAGAGCAAGAGCGCGTCGAACGCGAGTCCGCTCCGAGGCACGTGAAAATCGCTCTGCAGAGGCTCGGTCCTCGAGGCGAAGGATGAATGCCAGTGTCGATCCTGGGCGTAAGAAGACACGACTGCGGAGGGCTGGGTCTTCGCCGTGGCGGGGGGGCCGCGCGCGGGCGCGCGTGCGCGGCGCTGCATCCAGTGCGCTAGTGTGGGGGCCGCCCGAGGGGTGCAGGACCTCGCTGAAGCAGGGCGGGCGGCACTCGTGCGATCGGGGCGCAATTTGGCAGGGGCTCCAAGCTTGGTGGCAACGCGCGTGCGGCAGCCGCGGTAGTCTACGCTGAAGGTCTGGGCGGACAGCGACGTCGCTGGGCGCGCGGCCACCCGCGAGTCTACATCAAGTGCCGCAGTGACTCTCTGGAGTCATTGGATGCGGCCGTAGAGAACGACGCAGCGGATCCAGGCGTTGAGCACGGGCGAGAGTGAGTTTCTCGATCTCGTGAGAAAGCAGGTTCGATGGGCTTAGGCTCCGAGGCGCCCCCTGCCGACTGCGGCGTCGATGGCGTGGAAGGGGTGCTGCGTCGCGGCGCCAATGCTAGGCGGGGCGGGGGGGGCATGGCGGAGCGACGAGAAGTCGGGCGAGTTCTGAACCTACATGCCCATCTGGTTTGGCTACAGATGGCTGTGCAAGCAGGGCGGCTGACGGTTCGCAACGTCGGAGGCAAAGCCGACATGGCGGACATGGAGACGAATCGTGTCGAGGCCATTCTGACCACAAAGTTCCAGGAGGCTCCAGGATTCGAAATTCGCGGTGGTCGGGGCCGTTTGGCGCGACGAGGTGCGCTGGGCTGTGGGGCGTGATGTGATGTGGACCGCCACGTTCCGCTTCTGTGAAGTGATGGTGATGGGGGCGAGGCCTGGTGCACCTGGAGGCTTACGTTTCCTTTTTCGCTGGTAAGTGCTGTGCCCCTGTTCTCGCGTCGTCCTAAGGGCCAGAGCGGCCAAGTGGCCGCTATGTGATTAAGGGTGCCTGAGACCAGATGAGCAGGTCTGTGTGTTTGGCGACTTCGTGGGCCGTTTTCGTTTCGATGTCGTTTTGCGGTAACGGCGGGTTCGAGACAAAAGCGAGGGTAAACGAAAACAAAACGAACCCGAACACCACCGTTTAGGTTCAGTCCTGTTTCAGAAAGGAGGCATGCTTGCATATGCAGCCCCGCAGACATTTTGACTGAAGATGCTGCGTTGGGGCCGAACGAGAAAATGATCATTCAAGGACGGCGGTGGTGGAGTGACCGATGGGGGTGGATTGCGGCCTCTTCGCACGCCGATTCGCCCTCCTCCGTCCTTCTTGCCCTTCCCCTCCCATCTCGGGGGGTGGGCTGGGCGATAATGTTTTTTTGAGGCTCCGTCTCCTGGACTCCACTCCTCCTTGTTCTCGTTGTCCTTAACGTCTCTTCCTTCTCTATCTTTTCTTCCAGTATAATTGTTATTCTCTTTTCTTCCCTTGAGTTCGATTCCCTTCTCTTCTCATGTCTGCTCGTTTCTCCTCTTCCCCTGCCTTCTCATCGTTTATCTTATTCTTCTCCTCTAGCGCTTACGCTACAATCATGAGGAGGGTAAATCAGCGTCGACGATGGTAGATCCGAGATCGAAACCGCTCAATCCAGAGCGTACAGTCTTATTCAGCCTAGCCCCGCTTGATCCGGGCTAAGGCCCGGCCGAACTCTTGATCTGGTCCAGTGGCCCCCGAACTGGGTTTCATCTGTTGTTATTCAGTTTTCACAGATTTGTTTCCTCATTATTGGTCTTCTTTGTTTTTTCCCGTCTTCTGATTCGTTTTTTCCTTCGTCGTAGTCGTTTTCGGATTTTTGGTATTTTTTGTGAAGTTATTCGCCCTTGTATTACTATCATCCTTCATCGTGCTTCTCTTCTGCTTCATCGCCGTTTTCTTCGTGCTCTTATCTCGCTGACCGTCTCGTTCTCCTCCCCATTCCGTTCTTGCTGGCCCGAGCACGGGAAGAAGGGTTGGGCAGGCTGCAGCCCCAAGCTGAGGCGGCAGCGCGACCAGGCCATCAGAGACTGGGAGGCGGCGACCAGGTTCAGGAGGGGAAAAACACACAGACATAATCCATCGCCGACTCCTAAGGAAATATGCGAACATATAGGAAGTGGGGGGGAAGGCGAACTTCTGGAACATATGGAAACATATGGGGAATCCTGGGACTTGTGTGTATTTCTTTGTGTGTCCTTGGGCCCCTTGACAGGCTGGGGGCAGCGTGCGTCAGGGCGCCCTCGAGGGCGCGAGGTTGTTCGCGCCTTGGCGGCTCGGCTCCGATCCCGCCTTGCCCCCTCTCCTCCCGGGGGGGGGGCGCGGCGCGATAGCGCAAAGTTTGTCGTGTTTGGCGCGTCGTGCGGCGCGAAGCGCGAATTTGGGGACCCTTGGTCAGGAGGAGGACAACACTGGAAGGTGGCATCTGCCGCCTTCAGGTATGAAAATGCCAGAGTTGTGGAGCCACCCCCCTACGGCCGTCTTCGTTGGCCGAGGGACCATAGGTGGGGGGAGGGAACTGCTGCAGCCCCATATGATGGAAGCTGCGGTGTGAGTGTGTGTGTGTGTGTGTGATCTCAGGGGGGACCTCCAAGGCGATCGCGAGCGCCCAAGGGGGCTTCGGGATGGGGCCAGAGACCACTTTGGGCCATGCTGGAAGTATGCGATCCCAGCCGCGCTTCTGATGCGAACGCGTTTTGGATATCGCCCAACCTCAGTCGTGTGTGTGTGTTGTTTTTCGCACCGTGAGTGTCCTCCTTTCCTCCTCGCCCTCCGCGGCCGAACTCCTCCCCCTTTCCCCCCTCTTGCAGCTGGACATTTGGCGCCGTGTCTTTGCCTGACCCACGGGAGCGCGCGTGCGGATTGCCTCTGCCGCGCTGCGGCGCAACAGTGTGTGTGTGTGTGTGTGTGTGTGTGCGTGCGTGCGTGCGTGCGTGCGTGCGTGCGTGTGTGTGTGTGTGTTTGTGCTTGTGCTTGTGCTTGTGCTTGTGCTTGTGTGTCTGTGTGTGTATGTGTGTGTGCGTGTGTGTGCGTGTGTGTGTGTGTGTCTGTGTGTATGTGCGTGCGTGCGTGCGTGCGTGCGTGTGTGTGTGTGTGTGTGTGTGTGCGTGTGTGTGTGTGTTTGTGCTTGTGCTTGTGCTTGTGCTTGTGCTTGTGTTTGTGTGTCTGTGTGTGTATGTGTGTGTGTGCGTGTGTGTGCGTGTGTGTGTGTGTGTGTCTGTGTGTGTATGTGTGTGTGTGTGCGTGTGCGTGTGCGTGTGTGTGTGTTGTGTGTGCATGTGTGAAAGAGCCTGTTCTACCGCTGCTGGCGGAAAACCGGGGGGGGGTCACTACCGGTTCGATCCCCTCCCCCCCCCACTGGAAAACCGGGGGGGGTCACTACCGGTTCGAACCCCTCCCCCCCCCCCCAGTTCATCATGAAAAAGGGGGGTGACTACCGGTTCGAACCCCCCCCCTCCCCCCTCCCCCCCCCCCTCGAACTCGAAAACCGGGGGGGGTCACTACCGGTTCGAACGCCCCCTCCCCCTCGAAAACCGAGGGGGGGTGCGGACAGTGGTGGGGACGGTGGTGGTGGGGACAGTGGTGAGGGGACAGCGGGACAGTGGTGGGGACAGTGGGACAGTGGTGGGGACGGTAGTGGTGGGGACAATGGTGAGGACAATGGTGGGAAAAGTGGGGACAGTGGGACAGTGGTGGGGACGGTGGTGGTGGGGACAGTGGTGTGGGGACAGTGGGAATGTGGTGGAAACAGTGGGACAGTGGAGGGTACAGTGGTGGTGGGGACAGTGGTGAAGGCGGTGGCGAGGACGGCGGTGGGAAAATGGGACAGAGGTACAGTGGGGACAGTGGTCGGGACAGTGGGGACACTGGTGGGAACAGTGGGACAGCTCAGTGGGACAGCGGAGGAGTCAGTGGGACAGTGGGGACAGTGGGGATAGTCGTGAGAAAAGTTGGGAGAGTGGAACCGTGGTGGGAACAGTGGTGGGGACAGTGGGGGACAGTGCGACAGTGGTGGTGGCACTGGTGGGGACAGTAGGGGCGGTGGTGGAACCAGTGGGGACAGTGGTGGTGAGGACAGTGGCGCTGGGAACAACAGTGGGGGATGTGGTGAGGACGGTGGTTGGGACCGAGGGTCGTTTGCTGGAGGTGAGACGGGAGGTGGGGAGGGGTTCGAACCGGTACCCCCACCCCCCCCTCCGATTTTCGAGAGGGGGGGGGGGGGTTCGAAACGTATGACCCCCCCCCGGTTTTCTTGAGTTCGAGGGGGGGGTGGGTTCGAACCGGTAGTGACCCCCCCCCCTTTTCATGATGAACTGGGGGGGGGGGAGGGGGTTCGAACCGGTACCACCCACCCCCCCCTCCGGTTTTTCGAGGGGGGGGGGGGGTTCGAACCGGTAAGTGAACCCCCCCCGTTTTCGAGTCCGACGGGGGGGGGGGTTAGGGGAGGGGGGGGGGGTTTTGGCCGGGGGAATGGGGGGGGGGGATTTTCGAGAGGGGGGAGATGGGGGACCCCCGAGTTCCGGAGGAAAAGGGCGGCAATTTTCCACAGTAAAGCGGCGGTGGATCACGCTCTTTGGCATGTGTGTGTGTGTGTGTGAGTTTCCCGCTGGAAAAGGCGCATCGACCTCCCCCAGCTGGCACCACCAGGTACCCCTCTGGCGTTTGGGGCACAGCCACATGCGAGTGCAAGCGCCCCCAGGGGCAGCCCGCCTTCGAGCACCTCACTACCCTCACTGGGCACCAGGCGCACCCAGATGAGATCCTGGACGGTCAGCTCAGAGACAGTTCCGGGCACCCCATCCCACGCTCCTGGGCAAATGCTACCCTCGTGCTGATACTCCTGCTCATCAGGGGGCCCCACCCTACACTGGCCCCTTACGGGAGCGCCAGCCACATCGGCGACATCCTCGAGGCGACCCTGGGCACCTGTCTCCCATATAACAACGCACGCCTCCTTGTGCGTGACAGTTTCGGGAGGGCGCACAACCTCGGGGATGCGTTTTTTTTCGTCGGCTCCACGGCCACTCACCGTCGCCCACCGCCACCCCGACCTTGTCGTAACTCCCCCAGGCACCACTTGGAAGGAGGCGGCAGCGGACGATCTTCCCTTGAATCACGCTCTCGAGGCACTCGACATCCTGACGGCCCCAGCGAAACTCTTCTGCCTGTGGGCCCACAGCTGCTGCGCCTGGGCGGCGGGCTGTCGGGATCGGGCAAGGACCTCGTCCTGCCCTCCCGACCGGCGTGCTGCCGGGTGTCGCCCTAACCCCGCCCTTCTTCAATGCTGGTGGCAACCGCTTCCATACCTCCGTGCAGTCGCCATGCATCTTCTGCGACCACTATGGGAGAGGCCCCCTTGACCCCCAGAAGGAGAGCGGAGGCACATGGGTTGACGCCGCCATCAGGAAGACAGTAGCCGCCCCGGCTGGAGTGCTACAGTGCTACAGGAAGGGGCAAGACTGCAGGTGGCACTGCAGCCCTTGTTGGAGGGCCGCCCTTATGGCCAGAAAACTCCCCGCACCAACAGAAGACAGAATGGTTGTGCACCTGGCCAGCATTGAGGGCGACAACCCCCCCTCGCTGCGATGCCCCCCAGCCTAGGTCCCCTCCGCGGTCGACCCCCCGTGGATCGTACCGACGCCGACACCCTTCTCTCGGCCCTGTTGCTGGTGCCGGTGGGCCCCCACAACTCCGCCCACACCAACGCTACCATCCCCACGCTCCGCACCACGGACGACAGATTTGGCCGGCACCTCAACAGCGGCCATTGCTTGGGCGTTGCGTAATGGAGGGGTCATAAATAGGGGGGTGGCGAGGGTGGTCCGAAAAGGTACCCAAACGGTACCTAAACGAGCCCCCTGGGACTCCAGAGGGGCCCGAAAGGGGCACGAAAGGGGACCGTTTCTGACCCCCCCATTTATGACCCCCCCACTAAGCCACGCCCAAATTGCAAGTGCCAGTGTGATCGCTGCCCGAACGACGTCCCCCCGCGACAGTGGCCATGCGGGGAGGCGCCGCTAGACACCTTCATCTTCCGACCAGGGGACGAGGCCCTAGCTGACAGCGCGCGCGGGCTCCTTACCCCTGCAGCTTTTTGCCAACATCGTTACTTGGCGCTGCTCCGATTACCTCGTGCACTTGTGGGATGCCTGCTCCAGTCAGCTCAAGGCCATACTTGAGCGGGGCGGCACTTGCGTGTTTCCCCGGGCCGCCCCCAGGCGAGAGAAGAAACCGCCCTTGGTCGCGCCGCTGCCTGCCTCCCTGGCGCGACCCTCCGGCCGCGTCCCTTCGCCCCCCGAGCCCAGTGACCGCCGACCCCCGTTGGGCGCTCCCAGTCTCCCAGTGGCATAGAGGGCCCGTTCGGTCTCCTCTCCCGTGACGCCGGCAGCAGTGGGTCCGGGGGCGCGGGCCCACAGACCGCCAGTGTTCAGCGAGGCTCATCACCTCCCGCTGCCCGGCATGACCCTGCGCCGCGGCCTGCGTGGAGACGGCGCCCGCGGAGCCGCGGCCCAGCCCGCCGCCGGACTCTCAGTAGCTCCAGGAGCCCAGGCCAGACACCCACCCGCACGCAGTCCGGGCGCAGAGGGCGCCGGCAGACCTCGACCAGCTGTTCTTCCTGCAGTCGAACCTCGTTCTCCCGGGGGCGCCACTCCAGCCGCGGCGGCTTCGCCCCCCAGCCGCTCGCCTACGCCCCCATCCCGCCGTCGCCCCAGCCCATCGCCGGTCCGCGCCCGACCCGCCAGCCGCGGCCCCGCAACCCCCCCTCCGCCCGTGCTCGGCCGCTCCGCGACAGCCGAAGAGATGGGCAAAGTGGCGCCCCCACAGCCTCTCAGCAGCCTTCTAGACGACCGTCCTGGCATTGCCCCCCCGCCTGCCCGTCACTCAAAGTAAGGGAGATCGCCGAGGTGGAAGCCGCGGGACACGTTGACCCAGCGCGCGCAGCCGGGAGGGCCGACGACGCCATCGCCCGCATCATGGTCGCCTACGTAGCCCACTCCCTGTCCCCCAAATCAATGAGGCGTGGAGGAACTGGGCGGTCGAGCATCGC